CGGCATGTGGGATCTTCCCGGACCAGGGCACAAACCCGTGTCCTCTGCATTGGCAGGCGGACTGTCAACCACTGTGCCACCAGGGAAGCCCCATTCATTAATCTTTAATAGGAATGTAATGAGGCCAGTTGTAAGGAACACGCACAGCCGTCTCATTACTTTATTGCCACACCCTGTAAACATTATGCTGAACTACATTGGTGAGAGGACATGCTAACATTATAGCATATCTTACACTGAGAAACTTAAACTCATATCTTTAGAAAATTGGAAGAAGAAATCTGTAGAGTCCTGCTTTATGCTGCTCTTATACAGTAATGATCTATATTGCTTTTGTTAAAACTTTTATTAACTTGTATACAATGAATGTTTTTACTGCTTTGATTAAAGTACTAACTTTGGAGGAAGAAAAATTGCCCAAGATGCCTGTATATAATGGCATCTCCTGTCCTTTTTCAAGCTTGTCAGAAGTTGGAGCTGTTTGCCTTGCAGCAGTAAATACAGTGGAGTTAGACCATCTGGCTTGATTAGCCAGCCCTCATGCTTCCTGGCTATATGACTTTATACCTCTCTGAGCCTCAGTTCTTATTTCTAAATTGGGGTAATAATATCTATCTCCTGGGTTATGAAGATTATATAAAATTGCATGGCAAAGTGTTTTGTAAACTCTAAAGCTAATGTTAGTGACTTTGTTCCTCCTACTCCTAAGAGACAAGTCTCAAGACATAAAAATATCTTCAGGTACTATTTTATGTGGAAGTGGAATAGATTTTATTTTTATTGAGGACAATTTCACATAACAAAATTCACAGTTTTAACTGTTTTAAAGTGTATAATTCACTGGCTTTTAGCACATCCCCGTTGTTGTACAACCATGGCTACTATTTAGTTCTAGAATGTTTTTGTTACGCCAAAGGAAACCCCATACCCATTAAGCAATCACTTCCCATTTCCCCCTCCCAGCACACCCTGGCAACCACTAATCCGCTTTCTATGTATTTGCCTATTCTGTATATTCATATAAATAGAATCATATAATATGTGGCCTTTTGTGCTTGGCTTCTTTCACTTAGCATAATGTTTCCAAAGTTCTTTCATATTGTAGTATCTATCAGTATTTCATTCCTCTTATGGTTGTGTAATATTCCATTGTGTGGATATGCTACATTTTGTTTATCCATTCATTAGTTGGTGGACACTTGAGTTTCCACCTTTGGGCTATTTTGTTTTGTTTTTTATTTATTAATTAATTTTATTTATTTTTGGCTGCATTGGGTCTTCGTTGCTGCGTGTGGCTTTCTCTAGTTGCGGTGAGCAGGGGCTACTCTTCGTTGCGGTGTACAGGCTTCTCATTGCAGTGGCTTCTCTCGTTGCAGAGCAGGGGCTCCAGGGCACGCGGGCTTCAGTAGTTGTGACACATGAGCTCAGTAGCTGTGGCTCGCGGGCCCTAGAGTACAGGCTCAGTAGTTGTGGCGCACGGGCTTAGTTGCTCCGCCACATGTGGGATCTTCCCTGACCAGGGATAAGAACCCCTGTCCGCTGCCTTGGCAGGTGGATTCTTAACCACTGTGCCACCAGGGAAGCCTTGGGCTATTTTGAATAGTGTTGCTATGAACATTCATTGTAAGTTTTTATTTGAACACCTATT